CCACCAGGGCTCCTCCACAAGTCGCCCAGGGAGGGAAAAACTATGTATGTATGTATGTATGAATGTAGATTGCCGACCTGCTTCTGTGGGTCAGGCCCCGAGTCACCTCCCAATGGCCAGAGGGAAAATGTCCCTCAGAGGATTCTCTGATTCTCTAGCACCAGTGACATACATGAGGGGGGAGAGAAGAGAAGCCTGACAAAACACAGCAAATTTAGTCAATACTGAAGAAACCGTTCCAGGAAATTTGGGAACCACTTCAAGGAAAAATCACTTGAATACGAATTCTCCCTCCCACCAATCCCGGTCAGATGCTTACCTAGCTCACTGCTTCTGCTCTCCCACGTTTCTGTAATCCAGTCTCATTCACGTATCACAGATTGTCCCAAGATTAAGCCAAACACAACATAATCGTCCACCAGTTGCCAATTTCACTAAGGTTCAGGGACAGTCTTATCACACATAATTCCCTGGCACCCTCTGTGTTTTGCAGTATTATTGATAATGAATATTCCTACATACTTTGTTTTGCAAGACTTGTTCAGAAATTTACTTTTGACCGTCTCAGCAACCTGCTTATTGGTAGAGCAATTCTAGAGCCACTTTTCAGAGAATTTGGTTAACGGAAAGCTCGGAGATCAGAGTTACTGACACCCAATGTGATGGAAACACGCCAGACCTCCTAAATTCCAAATCCCAAGCCCCACCCGCTAACGGCTACCCAGACTGGTTCTCAATCCTGGGTGCATACTGAAAATTTTAGAAAATGGCAATACTCAGACTGCACCCCCCGAGATTCTGCTAGAATTGCCTGGGGTTGGGCACTGGTCTAAGTCTACTGCGCATCCAGGTTCAGAATCACTGCTCTAGAAACATCCCAACAGGTGAGTCAGTTACATCTCTGGCTTCGGGAGCTTTGAAGGAGGAAGACAGCTTTGCCTAAGGCGGCCTGACCGTGACGCACAACAGGCTGGCAGACGTCTGCAAACTTTTCTCTACAGGGCCACAGACGGGCTGTGTCGCAGTTTGTTTGTTTTTTTTTTACAGGCCTTTAAAAATACAAACCATTCTTGGCTCGAGGGCTGTACGAAAGCCGGCCACGGGCTGGCTATACCCGCGGGCCGCAATCTGCACAGCCCTGGCCTAGAGAGAGGAAATCCGAAAGGCAGCCCCGAAGAGACAGCGCATGCGACACTCCCAGGCCGCCTCGCGGGCCCCGCGACCCACGGGAGCAAGAAAAGGAGCGGGCCGGGAAGGTCACATCCTCTTA